AAAAAAAAAAAAAAAAAAAAAAAAAGAAGCTCTTTTAGTCACGTTAGCACTTGTAATTATTGTTTACTGTTTAAGTAAGAATTGTTTACTTTTTAATCACCTAGATAGAGCCTATTTTGTATATAATACATATACTGAATATGAGACTTTCTTGATGACTTAAATCATAAATTTAAATGAACAGATAAAAGCAGAAGGAGACATAAGAAGCAGATTCAAATGTAGAAAAGGGATGGAAGACTGTTCATTTTAGTTACTCTTTTGTCCATGGTCCTGGGGTCATAGATGGAGAGAGTAATCAGAATAGCTATGTGAGAGACCTTTGCCCTTGCTTAATTGATTAGTTAACTTTTTTCACTTTGAATAAGTCTGTTTCTCTGGATTTAAACAATTGATTTAATCTTTCAGACAGGGGAAAACAAAGGATGGAGTGGTCCAAAGGCTGGGTTTCCTGAACCAACCAATAACAGTAAGTTTTCACTTTTATGTTAACTACATTTGGTATTCATCAGTGGTTCATTGATTAGTCCGTCACTGGGTATCTGTTGGGTTTATTTGGGCCTGAGATGCCTTGTTAAGTGGTGTGGGGGATATAAGGAAGTTGTGGTGTTTGCTTTCCTGGAACTGACAGAAGACGCAGGCATTCATATCCTTCACGTGGTTAAATCATTGCAGACACAGTACCGTTTAATCCACAAGGTGATGACATTCTTTTTTAAGGTTGTTTTTATTGCAATGTTATTATGATATAAAAGAATCAAAAACGAAAAACAATTATCTATAAGCCCCTTATACTCTAAAATCAATTGTTTCCCAGTTCTAATTCTTTTTAGGTACACACGCATTTTTACATAATTATAATATAGACAAAAGTTTGTACTGTATTGTTTTCATTTAACGTTGTAGTAAGCATTTTTCATGTTGTGCTGAGTCATTAGAATTTTTAATATTTTATTAAAGTCACTAATTGAAGTATCAGAAATGTAAGAATAAAATTGCTCACAGTGTCATTCCAATTATAGTATTTTTAGGCAGTTAAAAAACCACTTTATTTTTTTTTCGAACTTATGTGATCAAGCTGTTATGCATTGGAAGCATAGACATTTTTCTTTAACTTCCTTCCCACCTCTTCCAAAAAGCATCTATTTTCACTGAAGTGACCGTTTTACTGTAAATCAGTAAAACGAAACAGCCAGCCAATGAAGACCCTGTCGAAGTGAAGTCAAATCTATCTCATTTCTAACCCTATTTTCCTTCCTTATAACCTCTGGAAGCTGAATAAGCTTAAATATGTAAATTGTCATAATGAAAAGTGTTCTTTGATATTAGAAGCTCCTCTCTTGATGTACAATGAAATTAGTAAAAAAAAAACTCTTATCAAAGCATGCTTATGAGAATTGAATTCGTGGATCATCAAAACTAGCCTCTTGAAAAGAACATTTCAATGAGGTAATGGTATTCACGAATTACTGTCTGGGAATAATTTGATATGACTCTGAGGCCTTGGTGTCTCTCTCTCTCTCTCTCTCTCTCTCTCTCTCTCTCTCTCTCTCTCTCT